ATATAAACACTTTGAAAGAGTAAGAGAGTGTGTGTGTGTGTGTGTGTGTAGGTGCTAGGGAGAGAGGATAGGGTGGTAATGGTCAAAGAAGAGGCTGGTGGTGAAAGTTTGAACAATAAATGAAAAGGCTAGCATTTGTGCTGAGGAGTTTTGATGTGATTTGGTAGGTAAAAGGCAGTCAATAAAATCTTTTTATGCCTTAGAAAGATAATTCTGGTGGTTCCGTGGGAGAGCTCAGGCCAAAGAAAAAGAAGTTGAGCAGGAAGCTGTGATGTTCAGGTAGGGACGAATGCAGATACATTAGGGAGTAGCAGGGAGGAACAGAAAGGCCATGAAAGATTTTTTTTTAAGTTTCTGAAATGAGTAAAATTACCTTTGATTTAGTTTTATATTTACCCATGCCTTTTATCTTTTGAAGAAACTGAAGAGCTGGACATGTTTAATCTGTATGAATTATTAAGAAATATCTGAAACCAGTCAATCCTCAAGGAAATCAGTCCTGACTATTCATTCGAAGGACTGATGCTGAAGCTGAAGCTCCAATTCTTTGGCCACCTGATGCGAAGAACAGAGTCACTGGAAAAGACCCTGATGCTGGGAAAGACTGAAGTGGTGACAGAGGATGAGATGGTTGGATGGCATCACTGACTCGATGGACATGAGTCTGAGCAAGCTCTGGGAGTTGGTGACGAACAGGGAAGCCTGGTGTGAGGACGCAAGAGTCGGACACGACTGAGTGACTGATCTGAACTGAACTGACTGCACTGAAGGCAAATTTACATGAGTAGGCGAGCAGCTGAAATGCTAGCAGGAATGTTAACTAGCACAAGCTCTTTGTGAAAATAACTTCATATTCTCAAATAAAGTTGAAAGTTTACATACTCAGCCTTGATAAATACGGCAGAACATTAAGAAAGGCATAAGTGAAGTTCCTACTAAGTTGAGTAATTCGGTAAGAGATGATACCATCAAACAAGACTTGAGATACAAAAGTATAAAAACATTTTGGATGGAATAGAAACACACTTGATTTTAAACATCTTGAATTTGGAGTTCCTGTACAACTTTCAGGAGGAACTCTCTACTGTCCATTAAAAACATTGGTCTACTGATCAAAAGACACAATATGTTAAAAACAACGACAACAAAAGACAACTTAGAAAGTGGAAGTAGATATCTGTAAAACATAACATATGACAGAAACCATCACAATATTGTAAAGTAATCATCCTGCAATTAAAAATAAAATAAAACTTAAAAGAACTATATATACTTAAGAAAAAGATAAACAACCCACATGAAAAAATACAGAAGATGGTAATAGGCACTCTATAAAAGATGAAATCCAAGTTTCCAACCTCATTAGTAATACAGCAAATGGAAATTAAAATCATGATGAAATATTACTGCATACCCACCAGACTGGCATAAATTAAAACATCTGACACCACCAAGTGCTGTGGAACAACAGAACTTTCACATGCTGTGGCTGGAAGTTAAAACCGGCTCAAACACTTTGGAAAGTAAAACTGATGATCTGCATGCCATTCCACACCCAGCCATTCCACACCCTGCCATACATGCTAAAGAAACTCTTGTGCACTTGTGGTCAGTATAGTGTATAAGATTGCTTATAATCACAGCATTGTTTGTAACAGTCCCAATCTGGAAATTTACAAATGACCACTAAAATTAAAATGGACATACACATTGCTATATATTTATAAAATGGAAATGTTGCAATGAGAAAAATGATGACTCACTAAAGTAACGGTGAACAAAGAAAGAAGAGACACAAATATTCAACATAACTACACGAAATTCAGAAACAGAAAACTAAACTATATGGATGAGAGATGAATACAAAGATGACACTACTGTAAGGTAAAGCAGAGGATTCACTACTATAAAATTCAGGACTTCTGGAATACAGACAATATTCTATCTTGACCCAAGTAGTAGTTATATGGATACTGTTTTTACATATAATGTAGCATTGTTTTATGAACTTTTCTGTATACTATGTTCATAATTTTTTTTTAAGATATAAGATTATGGGACTTCCCTGCTAAGACTCCATGCTCCCAATGCAGGGGGCCTGGGATCAATCTCTGGTCAGGGAAGAGATTCAATGTGCTGCAACTAAGAGTTCGCACGCCACAACTAAAGATCCTACTTGCCACAACTCAGACCTGGCGCAGTCAAATAAATAAATAATACTTTAATAGGGTATAAGATTATTAGTTACGAGCAAACATGCTAGGATGGAGCTAGATTAGAATTTATTGTTGTAAAGATGGCTCTTAAAGCTATATAAGTAAGGTCCTTCACTGTACACTGAATAGTTTTTTAAAACCTAAAAATCTTGGATTCTCAAAGGAATACAAACACACAGAATTGAAAACAACTTCAACAAGCAAAGAGTCAAAAGTAGATGGTGCTAGGAAAGCCAAGAGAGGAGAAAAGCTAAGAGGACAAAGGGGTCAATAATGACAAATGAGATAAGCTCCAGCTAGTTGAAAAAATACCAATGAACCAGCAATTAGGATTCACTTATGAGCCATTTGAGGCTAACATACTCCTATTAACAGTAAAAAAAAATTTTTTTAACAATAAAATTTTATGCATTCCTTTTGTTTTTGAAAACTGGTGAAATACATGTTATGTTTCATTTTAAAGTGTGCAGCATACCAGGGTCTTCATTTTAATTAGCATTTAAGAATCAACAAAAAGTAATTCAAATCTTGCTATTTTGTGACTAAGATGTACAGAAACGTGGCAAAATTTTATAATTTTCATGATATAAAAGTAATGACTAAAAAAAAAGTAAGTAATGACTAAAACTAGAATTGCATATGATAGCATGACTTAAAAAGGTGATTATAGATATCTTATGCAGTTGGTGCTTGTCTGAAGTTTTTCTTTGAAAGTGAAAGGGAAAGTCACTCAGCTGTGTCCAATTCTTTGTGATCCCATCAAATTCTCCAGAGAATACTGGAGTGGGTAGACTTTCCCTTCTCTGGGGGATCTTTCCAACCCAGGGATTGAACCCAGGTCTCCCGCATTGCAGGTGGATTCTTTATCAGCTGAGCCATAGGGGAAGCCCAAGAATACTAGAGTGGGTAGCCTATCCTTTCTCCAGAGGATCTTCCCGGTCCAGGAATCGAACCGGGGTCTCCTGCATTGCAGGTGAATTCTTTACCAACTGAGCTATCAGAGAAGCCCTCAAGTTTTTGTGGATATGCAATAATTTCTGAGGAATACTAGCAATAGAACATGAAGGATACTGTTTTTATAAACTTTCGCAAATCATGTGTTGTGATTACCTTTGACCCAGACCTTAAATTGAAATTTACAGACAAAAAGGCATTTCAGGTGGGAAGAAAATTCTAGGTGTTGCAGCCAAAACTGTATTATGGGTTGGAAGAGAATCTAATAAAACATTTTTAAAAATGAGATTTTTAAACATAATACTTCACCCATATTGCAAATATAAAATAATACAAATGTATTTATATTATAAAATAAATAGTTCATAATAAATGACAAAACACTTATTTTCAAAGTTTTGAATTATCTTTCAAAAACAGCTTTGACAATAAGGAAATATGACACAGGCAACAAAAGGAAAAATAGGTAAGTTGGACTTCAAAATTAAAACTTTTGTGTATCAGAGGACATTAACAACAAAACAAAAAGACAGCCCACAGAATGAGAGGAAATACCTTCAAAAATATTTGCATATATCTGATATGGATTGACCCTGAGAATATATAAGAAACTTTCATGACTCAATAACAATCCATTTAAAAATCAGGCAAAGGACTGAACCTACCATTTCCTTAAAGAAGACATAATGGCAAATAAGCACATGAAAAGATGGTCAACATTATTAATCACTGGTGGTGGTTTAGTTGCTAGGTTGTGTCCCACTCTTGCAACCCCATAGATTGTAGCCCACCAGGCTATTCTGTCCATGGGATTTTGCAGGCAAGAATACTGGAGTGGGTTGCCATCTCCTTCTCCAGGGGATCTTCCAGACCCAGGAACTGAACCTGGGTCTCCTGCACTGCAGGCAGACTCTTTACCAATTGAGCTACGAGGGAAGACCTTTACTAATCACTAGGGAAAAGCAAATCAAAAGCACAATGAGATACCACTTCACACTCATTAGGATGACTATTTAAAAAAACAAAAGACAACACAGAGAATTAACAAGTATTAGTGAGGATGTGGAAAAACTAGTCCCCTGTGAATTGTTGGTAAGAATGTAAAATGGTTCAGCTGCTGCAGAAAACAGTATAGCAATTCCTCAAAAAATTAAATACAGAATTACCACATGATTCAGCAATTTCACTTCTGGGTATATACCGCCCACAAATGAAAACATGGGCTCAAATAGTCATTTGTACACTCATATTCATAGCAGCATTACTCACAACAGCCAAAAGGCAGAAGCAATCTAAATGTTCATCAAAAAATAAACAGACAAACAAAAAGTTGTATGCAGACACAATGGAGTATTATTCAGCCATAAAAAAGGAAGGAAATTCTGATACAACATTACAACATGAATGAACCTTGAGGACATTACCCTTCACAGGAAAATAAATACTCTATGATTTTACTTACATGAGATTAATTAGAGGAGTCAAATTCAGAGACAGAAAGTACAGGGTGGTTTCCAGGGGTTGAGGGAAGACAGGAATGGGGAGTTGTTGAACAGGCACAGCGTTTCAGTTTTACAAGGTGAAGAGTTTTGGAAATTGGTTGCACAACAATGAGAATGTACTTAATGAAACAGGCTGTATACATTAAAATTGTAAATTTTACTGCAATAAGTATATTTTTATTGCAATTTAAAAAACTGGACTTGGAAAGGAGTGTTGAAAACAGAAACACAGTCATTAGGATGAAGACATAAGTCACTATCCATGTACAGAGGAAAGGGGAAATAACTGCATTATTATTACATTTACTTTACTATTTTCATATGGTACCTGGATTTCAAGCTCAGCAATGTGCTGCTGTAGTTCAGCAACAGCTGCTATGCTATCTGCTTCCCGGAGTCTCACAGCCATCACTTCTTCCTTGTTCTAGGGTGGTAAACAAAACAAGCCAAAAATAAACCATACAATAAACCAAACCATTAATAAAACAAACACTGTAACTTGCCTCAGATTTAGAAAGTAACAAATAGACTCCCTGATTAAATTAGAGAGAAAAAAAAAAGCCATTATAACTAACACGACATTGTAAATCAACTATATTCCAATAAAAAAATCTTTTTAAATGCCATTTTAACTTGAACTTGGTATAAAATGAAGAATAAATATATATAACAGCATTCCATCTTTAAGAGCACTTGTATATAAATATTGCTCAAACTTTTAAATTAAAAGTTAATTAAAACTATTAAAGTTACTGTTGATTGTGAAAACTTAATTTTTTATCCAGGAACAATTATTGAGAACTTTCAAATATGTAACTAGGGCAATAGATTGATAGGGAATACAAACACTGAGTTAGCTAGATAATATTTTTAAAATTACATTTTTTGAGGCAATGAATGTTAATGAATATTTACTTTATACTACAAAGGTGATAATAGAAGAGAAAGACGGAATATACAAAAATATATAATATTGAGGAAATATTAACTTCAGTTGAAATTTAGCAATCAGTATCAAAAATGTGCAGCATGGTGACCATAGGAGAAATTTAGCACCTGAGAGTAATATAAAAATTTTTAAAAATTTCACACTTAGTAAAAATATAATTAAACTTTTAAATAAAAATATATTTATTCTTTTACCTTTTTCGATATGATCCTGGTACTTCATTTCAAGCAAATATTGCTTTAAATATTTTGCCAAGTTGTACATGGCCACTAAGTATAGTTTCTGCACACAATTAATAACCAGCTCTCAAGTGTGTGTGTGTGTGTGTGTGTGTGTAAATATGTTTGTATGTACATTTACAATATATTTTAATCTAGACTGAAATAGAAGATGTACAGTATATAGCAGTTAAGATACATAATACTCATTATTATAAATTCTATTTAGTCAATATACTCTCACAGAAAGCTTTCCCTAATTTTTGCCAAATCTTGTGTCCATAAGTCACCTACCACTGAAAACGAGGGAAAAGTAAAGTGTTGATGTAAACTCTGGCTAATTTTTGTTTGTGTTATTTATTCTGATAATAGAGTTATTATCACTCTGATAACAGTGATCAAATACTGGAAGAAAACTTCCTCAATATTATTGTGCTATTCATAATGTAAAGACTGAAGACACAACACATTTTTAAGCTTTAACAGTCTAGAGAAGGAGACAAAAACTTTCTTTAAAGGGCCAGATAGTAAATAATTTCAGACTTATGGGTCATACAGGCTATTACAACTACTCTATCTGCCACTGGAGTATGAAAGTGGTCACAGATGATATACAAGTGAATAGGAAATAAATGAATATATTTCAATATACAAATGAATGTATTCCAATAAAACTTTACAAAAACAGGCAGCCAGATAGATTTGCAACATGGGCTAGAATTTGGCAACTTCTGGTCTAGATAATTAACAAAACAGTAAGTCAAGCTTTGATTTGTAGTTTGACAATTCATGTGGTATAACTACTCCCATCATGGCTCCTTTCAACTTGACATAACATTCGTGAACAGCAGTGAAGATAACATTAGTGGCACACCATGGTATTTCTACAATACAGACATAATAAGTATAAATAACCTGAAATGCATACATAATAGTAAAATGTAAAAATTAGGAAATCATGAAGTTTGAGTATTTACTATCATTATTTTATCATAATTTGTTAATTATGTTAAATAATTTAATTTTTAATATGCCTGTTTAACAATTGTGTCACAAAATTCCTGAAAATTTAACAATTGGTTCTTGAAGCCTTCACCAGCTAGTTCCAGCACACCATTGTGTCTATGTTTAATAAAACTCAAATCTGTCACTCCCTTATTTTAAACACTTTAATAGTATTCCACAGATATTGAGACAACAGGTTCTTTTACTGGTGTCCAGGACTCTCCACGATTTGGCTTCCCTATCTACTGCTGCTCTAGCTTCATATATTACCAGTATTCCTTATCACACACTCCCCTCCAACCCGAATGAGTTCAAGCATAATTAAACTTTTTGATATGATCCTGGTACTTCATTTAGTTCAAGCAAACAACCTTGTCTGTTTTGCTCTTCACATGTGCTATTCCCTTCGCCTAGTGAACTCTGTTGTCTTTCCTCAACTAACTCCTACATATCCTTAAGGTCTCAGCTTAATCATTCCTTAGTGAGCTTTGCTTGAACCATGAATCTAACACTAAACTCACATTACAGGATCCAATGCACCACCTCAATCACAGCACTACTCATACTGCACTGTAATGGTGCATTTGTCTGTACCCTTTGCTAAAACAGAGCCCCTTGAGGACAAAGGTTTCTCTCCAACAGGCAGCACCACCTTGTAACCACTGAGTGCACCACTTACAAAGCCTCATCCTTTCGCTTCAGCTAAGCCTGAGATGACTGTAGCCTCGTGAGACTCTAAATCAGAGTCACTACATTAAGCTGCTTCTGAATTTCTGATCCACAGAAACTCTGGGGTATTAGTGGTTACTAATATTTTAAGCTGCTAAATTTTAGAGGTTATCTGTTAAACAGCAATAGATAACTAATACATATTTACTCTACTAATATTAACACTGTATAAAAATACTACATCCATCAAGTAAAACACCACATATTTGGGCACCAACTTTCTTCTACTTTTCCTCCCTCTCCAACCCAATCACTGAGTCTCTATAAAAATACTGGATTGATCTACTCTACTTTAGTTACATTGCCAACACCTGAGCCAAAGCTAGCACCTCTGTCTGTTCTATTACCTGATGATCTCATATCACCTCTCTCCAAAGCCACCTCAAATCCATGTCCACACAGAGTGGCATGTGTGTTCTTTTAAAAAATAATTATATTAACTTTTACATGCATTTATCTCCTAACAAAGCTAAAATTAACTGCTGAAACCTTAAGCATATTTGCATAAACTCAAAATAGTTCCTCCAAATACTTATTAATTATTGTCCTATTGTGGTGGTTGTAACAAATTCTTTGATATTCTTTCCTTCAGGAGTTGTAACTTAATGCCCTTTCCTCCACTTGAACCATTGTCTAGGCTCAGTAACTTGCCTGTAAGGAACAGAGTATGAGGGTGGGGGGACTTCTGTAGTGGAGAAAGCTAGCAGATACCAACTTAAGCAAATGACCAAAGTTAACAGCACCAGAGGTAAGGTGTATCAATACAGAATGCCCCATGATGGGCTTCTGTGGTAAAGAATCTGCTGCCAGTGCTGGAGATGCAGGTTTGATCCCTGGGTCAAGGTCCCCTGGAGGAAGATGTGGCCACCCACTCCAGCATTCTTGCCTGGGAAATCCCGTGGACAGAGGAGCCTGGCGGGACTACAGTACATGGGGCTGCAAAAGAGCTGGACACGACCTAGCAACTGAACACACACATGCCCCCCGATATAATATACTGAGAAAGGGCCTAAGACACATAACCTTGGTCTAAGCATAAGAAAACATCAGACAATCCTAAATTGAGGGATTTCTACAACATACCTCAGATCAAAGAAGAATGAGACATGATGGGGAAATCTGAATGAAGTCTGTAATTCAGTAATAACATTATCACTAATGTTCATTTCTTAGACCTAATAACTGTGTCATGTTTATGTAATAGGTTAAAATTAGGAGGGGCTAATTAAAGGGTATATGGGAACTCCCTGTACTATCTTTGCCACTTTACTGTAAACATAAAATTATGTCAAAAGTAAAAGTAAAAAACTGAAGCAAAGGACTTCCCTGGTGGTCCAATGTAAGAATCTGTCTGCCAATGATGGGACAGGGGTTTGATCCCTAGTCCAGGAAGATTCCACATGTTGCAGGGCAACCATGCCGTGTGTCACAACTCCTGAGCCCAAGCGCTACTGAAGCCTGCAAGCTTAAAAGCCCGTGCTCTGCCAACAAGAGAAGCTACTGCAAAGAGAAACCCATGCACCACAACTAGATAGAAGCCCCCACACCACAACTAGAGAGAAGCCCCCACCTGCCACAACTAGAGAAAAAGCCCTTGTAAAGCAAAGACCCAGCACAAACAAAAATAAAATGAATAAAATTTAAATAAAAACTGAAGAAAAAAACTGAAGCAAACAGAGCAAATAAAAAAATGTATCATGTTTTTTATCCTACCTCTCAGTGGCCTCCCACAGAATTTAAGAGTAAAACTCAAACTTGTTACCATGACCTATAAATATCTACATCGTAAGAAGCTAAGTCCTAGCTTACCTCCCTGGCTTTATCTCATTCAGCTCTGCATTATATATGAAACTCAGCAACCAAGTTCTTTCCTGCTTTTTGGGTCTTGATCTCTGACCTTTTTCATGTAAGGATCTCCCCCCGCTACTCTTCATAAGGCTGGTTCTTTCTTATTCTTCAGCTCCGACACCATCTCCTGGCACTTGATTTTAATTACCACTTCCTTTAACTTCTCACTCTACAGAACGTTATTACTAATGATCTTTTCTATTTTTTATTTATTGTCTCACTAAACATTAGGTCTACCTTCTCCATTACTGTATCCCCAATGCTTACAACAGTAACCTACAAGAAGACACCCAAATATTTGACAAATATGTACACTGATGTTATCATTCTTTGAAGTCTCATAATCTCACCTCCTCCAATCCCTAATTTGAAAATCACTGTCCTAGAACATGTAAATTCCATCTAATTAAAATAAAAAGATTTTGTTATACAATTTATAAGTAACATGATAAACAGGTACCATTATGCCCTGCAGGTCAAAGCACACAAAAAAAAGCAGGTCAAAGCACACACAAAAAAATGCCCTGCAGGTCAAAGCACAACCCTAAGGAGAGGAATTTGACAAAAACTATGAAAAGTACCAAGGTATTTACTCTCTGACCAAACAATCATATTTATAGTAATTTATTCTATAGAAATGTATAGATATACCTCTATACATCTGAAATTATGTATGTACAAAGTTATTCACTATACACTGCTTGTAGTAGTAAAACACTGGGAACAAACCATGTATCCATCAATATGGACCTAGTTAAGGATACTGTGGTATATACATGCAATGGAAAACAATGTATCTTAGAAACTAACAAGGAATACTCTAAGCACTCATAACTGAAAGCTGTACAAAACATATTAACATAAAAAGCAAAAGGTAGAATATATTGTCTGCTAACTTTCACATAAGACTGTGAGAAGAAAAAGTATATACTTTTAATTACTAGTATCTGCCTAAAAGAAACTCTAAAGGAAGTTATCAGAAAATAATAAAAGCCATTATCTGGGGAAAAAATAAAGGGGTGTACATGGTAGGGTCAGGAAGAGAGTAAGATAAAAGAAGTTCGAATGTTTTCATTTATATTTAGCTTTAAAAACATCAAAGCATTATGAAAAAATGCACAAGTATTAAGCTACTAAAAATTACATGAAATATAAGCAACAGGTTTAATTTCTTGTTTTCTTCCTATCATTATTTCATATATGCACAATATTATAATCATAAAATACTTTGCTCAGCTTTCCTCACTTGACATTATTTATTACACAATTTTACAAGTTTGTATATGAATATATAATAATACCTTTTCTCCTGGAGATACAAAATTATGTATCTGTTACTAGAGTATAAAATCTTTCTATAATTTTCAAATTTAGATTTACACAGGAAATCCAACAATCTTATCACTGAAATTCTGGGGGCGAGGTATGTTATGGAATTTCAGATTTTTCAGACTTTAGAAGAGTAATAAGGTGCATAAATGGAACACTAGTATGATCCAATGGGTTCTGAGGCAGTGTCCAAAATGAAACTGTACGTTCAATACTCAACAAAAATGAAGCAGTGATGTATAAGTACTCAAACCAAGTGGGATAAATAACAATTATAAATGGCTATGTTGCTGCTGCTGCTGCTGCTAAATCGCTTCAGTCGTGTCTGACTCTGTGCGACCCCACAGATGGCAGCCCACCAGGCTCCCCCATCCCTGGGATTCTCCAGGCAAGAACACTGGAGTGGTTGCGATTTCCTTCTCCAATGCGTGAAAGTGAAAAATGAAAGTGAAGTCGCTCAGTCATGTCCGACTCTTAGCGACCCCATGGACTGCAGCCTTCCAGGCCCCTCCGTCCATGGGATTTCCCAGGCAAGAGTACTGGAGTGGGGTGCTATGGCCTTCTCTGATAAATCGCTATATATTAGTTCAAATCAGGTTCTGCTTCCAAATGAATTTGTGTGAAATTTATGAAAATTTAGGTTTCAAAGTGTTTTGGATTTTCATATTGGGGATCTTAGACTTACACTGTTTTAAGTGGGAACATTCAAATTCAGTTACAGAGGGAAAATAATGCTAATATTAAAAACAGTATCCCGGACTTCCCCAGTGGTATGGTGGATGAGAATCCGTCTGCCAATCCAGGGAACATGGGTTCAGTCCCTGGTTCTGAAAGATTCCACATGCCATAGCAACTAAGATTATGTACCACACCTACTGAAGCGTGAGTATCAAGAGACTGTGCTCCCCAATAACAGAAGCCATCACAATGAGAAGCCCGCACACTACAACGAAGAGTAACCCCGCTTGCCGCAACTAGAGAAAGCCCACATGCAGCAACAAAGACCCAGCGCAGCCAAAAAGCAAAAGAAATTAAAAACAAACAAAAACAGTACCCTGCTTTACATCAATGAAAAATAGCATGAGCTTTAATAATTACTTATCAACAAATTACAAGCTATAATTACATAAAATGAAATGAAATCTATCAGATTTATATAACTGAAAGATTAGCTCTCTTGAAAAAGTTAGGTTTATTGCTGAATTGTTTCAATACGATAAAGTAAAATATTTAACACTTAATCAGAATGTGCCAGATGCTAGGGTGACAATTAACATTGGTCATGCTGGAAATCTGCAAAAGGCATTTAAAAAATTTGAATAAATCAATATACATCTTAAACACAGGGGAGATCTCAGAATCAGCATCTGTATATACTTTACAGAGGTATTAATGAAAAGTTAAATAAGATCTCATATCAGTTCTCAAAATTCTGAATGTGGGCCCATTACTTACACAAATTCAAAGCAAACAATTATTTTCATTGGCAGACTCCCCAAATACTTATTTCCAAATAGCACTTTACTTTGATTAAAAGGTGCAAAGGTATTTGGGGTACAGTATTAAATCCAGTAACAATGTTATCAACATGTTTAAAGGAAAACATATCAATAATACTAAATTTAGTTCTTTATTAAAAATAAGTCAGGACAGACACTGCAAAATAAAAAACTGAAGAAGATATTAGTATAATAAATCAAACTGATGTAATCTCATGTTACATCATCTTATTTTTAAATTAGCCTAGGGAATTTCCTGGCCGTCCAATGGTTAGGACTCAGTGCTTTCCCTGCCATGGCTTGGGTTCAATCCAACTTTCAAGAATTAAGATCCCACAAGACAAAAAAAAAAAGCACACGTAGTCACATACCTCAGGAGGGACTACTCTTACATCAGTGCACATTTCAGTGCTGCCTGCAGATTTCTGTCAAAGCGAACTAACAGTCATGCATATTCATTAGGATGTAATTTCATCTCTGGATTTCAGTGACACTGATAAACCACTCAAGCTTCACTTTTGGTTTTTAATGACACTAGAACAAGTTGATGGAATTACAGCTTTATATCTGCCACTGAAACTCTTATTTCTTATCATAGAATAATAAGGCTGGAATCTTTAAAGGGCATTATTCCTACTCTCCCACCATGGAAAGATGAATGTCTAGTTTTTTAAAAAATCTCATAAACAAAACCAAACTTGCCAAAAAATAAACTTGCCCTCAGTAATTCATTCTAATGTTTACCACAGTCATGTCTTTAGTTATTTCACACACACACACACACAACCCCTCTCCTTCCACCCCATTTCCCAACTTTGCCTTCTCTCTCACCATTGCTGTATTATAAATTTAAGGAAAAAAACATACTTGCGTTCAAAAATTTTTCCATGCTTTATGAATCCAAACATTCCATAAAAAATTTAAAAATTGATTAAAATAACATGAAATGCACACAATTTTGCCAACCTTTGGGTACACACACAGCTCTTTTATTCTCTATCCAGAAAACATATATCAATAGTGACAGCCCATTAATAAGGTGCCAATCAAAGCAGAGTAGACCCAACTTCTCTAAATTACCTATCTTTTTGGTTGAGACATTAAAAGATTCAGTTTTAAAGGGCTACAGGTCAACAGAGATACCAATCTTCAACCACTTGGTTAACTTAATTTCCTAACCAAGTGGTTGACAATGAAGTTTCCAGCCTGAAATTTACCCAGAGCATGATGGGGTAACCTGGCCTGAAAGCAACTGCCAAACTAAGTTCAGGAAAAGGAGGAAATAAGACTAACTTCTTTTAGTTTTATGGTAGTGTACTCAGTGACGAGATAAAAGCAAAAACAAAAAACACTATTATATTGACTAAAACACAAACTTGCTAGTTGGTATGTTTACCTTGCATTCAATCTCTGCTTGCCTGCGCTTCGCTTCACTCAGCTGGGTGAGCAGTCCTTTGTTCTGTGCGGAAAGATACTGCACCTGCTCCTGGAGACTGACCACCTCCTGCTCTGCTCTTCGAAGATGGTTACTATTGATCTGGTTCTAACAATTAAAAATATAAATACAGAATTCAGATAAAAATGTAAATAGCAGAATACAGATAAAAGGCCTGAAAAAACTGGTGGCTCAGACGGTAAAGAATCTGCCTGCAATGCAGGAGACCAGGGTTCAATCCCTGGGTTGGGACGATCCCCTGGAGATGGGAACGGGAACCCACTCCAGTATTGTTGCCTGGAGAATCCCAGGGACAGAGGAGCATGGCGGGCTACAGTCTGTGGGGTGGCAAAGAGTCGGACATGACTGAGTGACTATCACAAAACTTATAAATTTCTACATGTGTATATTATGTCTCAGCAATATTTTTAATGTTATTGTTAGTTACAGGTCTATTTTATTCAACAAATAGTTAAACACTTAAAAAGATTATAAAACTGCTTTAAAAATCAAAAGAATGCATAAGGGTCACATTAGAAACTTTCATTAAAGATCCATTTACCGTTCATACAATAAATACCTATAAACTATAAGGATGCTTATACAGAACTTGCAGGTATTAACTTCTGAAATAGGCAATATGGTATAAACAGATAGATACAGAGATAGGATGTATTTAACTCCCCTTTCCAGTTCACAAAAGAAAGCACAGACCGCCGAAGATATCACCACCACTTACTGAACTGCAAACTTTTTGATGTCACAAACTGTGTCATGTTAACTACATTCCTACAGTGTATAGCACAGTCTGTTTTTATGGCTTATGGACTAGCTTTGAATTCTGGCTTCCCATTTGGTGATTAAACAAACTATTTAGTATCTAATTTCTATTTCCTCATTTGAAAAATGTATGCAGGGCTTCCCAGGTGACTCAGTGGTAAAGAATCTCCTGCAATGTAGGAGACCTGGGATGGATCCTTAAGTTGGGAAGATCCTCTGGAGAAGAAAATGGCAACTCACTCCAGTATTCTTGTCTGGGAAACCCCACGGGCAGAGAAGCCAGACAGGCTACAGTCCATGGGGCTGCAAAACAGCTGGACCCGACGTGGTGACCACACAGCAACAACACTTTTTTTTAAAAGAAAACCATACGTAAAATACCACCTATTTCTCATTTAACTGTCTTTACAATTAAATGAGATAACACATGTAACAGAGTTTAATATATAGTAAGAACTCAATATATGCTAGCCTCTTAGTGTACTATTAACTATAGCACATAGATCTTTTATTTATCTATTTTTATTGAAGTATAGCTGATTTACAATGTTGTTTTAGTTTCTGAAAGTGAAAGTGTCAGTCACTCAGTCTGGTCTGACTCTGTACTTCATGAACTGTAGCCCCTAGGCTCCTCTGTTCCTGAGATTCTCCAGGCAAGAATACTGGAGTGGGTTGCCGTTCCCTTCTCCAGGAGATCTTCCTGGCACAGGACTTGAACCCAGGTCTCCTGGATTACAGGCAGATTCTTTACTGTCTGAGCCACCAGGGAAGCCCTTTTAGTTTCTGGGACACAGCAAAGTGATTCAACTATATATATATATGTATACACACACACACACACACATATATATTTTCCCCCTGTTTTAAATACTTCTCTGTTATGGTTTATCATAGGATATTGAATATAGTTCCCTTTGCTATACAATAGGACCTTAACATTATAGATTGTGAATTCACTGACATGAGGTAGTTTTCATAGTCAGGCTTGACTCAGATTGAATTCTCTCAATCCTAAATGATTCTATTAGGGGCCTGAAAGAAACAGTAAGCATTTTCATAACCAAACACAGGCAAAATCTGGCTCCTCATTTAACAGTTCTTCAACCTTGGTGAAGTTATCTAATACTATCAAGTTTTAGTACACTGATGAGTATAGATATTACTTCTTGACTTTTAAGGCTGTGTTGTGAGAATTACATAAGAAAAGTTTATGAAAGTAGTTCTCTCCTAATGCCTGAAATAGAAGACATTTAACAAATACTCGGTTATTATTATTACTAAACCTATTCTATCTCATTTTATGAAAATGACCCTGCCTCCAGTTTTCATTTTAAAATCTGTATCACCTGATAGATTTAAGCTCATATACTTTCTACCACTTCCAGGTTTCTTTATTTCCACTATTCATCTTCCTGACCAATAGAAGAAATGCCTCCTTCCTATGACCATCTTCTACTCTCTTCTTTCTCACTTTCAATCAACGAACACTTTCTACAAAGTTAAGAGTGAACTTCTTAACCATATTCAAAATGTTCCACAACCTCTTTTTAGTGCCTTATCTCTTACCATTAAAACAAACAACTATACTTCAGAGGGACACACCTTTAACATACACTCCAAAACTTCTCCCTGCACCCCTAATACCATTCCATGCTCCAAAATTACAAAACACTAACACAAATAATTAAAACACAAGAACTGACTATGAGTGAGAAATGGCAGACAAAAAATACGCTAGATCCTTAAGAACTCTAGATAGTAATCACATAAGGATTTTATACAAAATAGTTTACATATTTACATATTAAACAATAAAAAGAAGCATAAACAAAGAACTAGTCACTGTCAAAATATCAGCAAATTTGAAAGATAGCCAAATATAATTTCCAAAATTAACAGATACTGATAATAAATTCCATTAAAGGGTTAAACAGGAGATTAAACACAATGAGGCCTTCTCTGGTGGCTCCGTCAGTAAAGAAGCTGTCTGCAATGCAGGAGACTCGGGTTCAATCCCCAGGTGGGGACGATCCCCTGGAGAAGAGCATGGGAACCCACTCCAGTATTCTTGCCTGGAGAATTCTGTGGACTGAGAAGCCTGGTAGGCTACAGCCCCTGGGGTCGCAATGAGTCGGACTTCCCTGGTAGCTCAGCTGGTAAAGAATCCACCTGCAATGCAGGAGACCCTGGTTTGACTCCTGGGTCAAGAAGATCCCCTGGGGAAGGGATAGGCTACCCACCCCAGTATTCTTGAGCTTCCCTGGTGTTTCAGACAGTAAAGAATTTGCCTGCAATGTGGGAGACCTGAGTTCAATCCCTAGGTTGGGAAGATCCCCTGGAGGAGGGCATGGTAACCCTCTCCAGTATTCTTGCCTGGAGTATCCCCATGGGCAGAGGAGCCTGGCGGGGTACAGTCCATGGGGTCAGAAAAAGTCAGATAAAAATAAGCAACTAAGAACTAGACACAAGGAAGAAAAAATTAGTGTCTCTTAAGATGTCAAGAGACAGAAAAGAGAATAAAGAGGTATAAAATACTTTACAGGTGTTTCCCCCTCCTCAAAAAAAAGTGAGCTGTGATGGCTTAAGAAGATGATAATAGTTGAGAATCTTTACAACAAAAATCACATATGCATCTACACTGTTGGAAGCACAATCAGTCCCAAATACTATTTGGGATAAATATAAATAAATCCTTATCAAAATACATTATATCAAAACTTACAGAATGCTAAAGTAAAACAGAAGTAAATCAAGGGAAAAACAATATCTGTGAAGGCGGAAATGAAATATCCAGCAGACATCTCAATGGGAAAAATTGGTATTGCTTAAAAAAAAAAAATTAATCCTATAAAAGTATACTCAGCTAACTATCACAGAGGAGAGAAAAGTACATTTATTTTAAGAAAGTGAGAGAGTTTACAACTCATGACTGAAACTGGGAGGAAGCTGTTAAATAAAAGAAAGAATACAGAGCAAAAAATTTAGCATGCAGGTAGACAAAACCATGGGCTTCCCTTGTGGCTCAGCTGGTAAAAAAAATCTGCCTGCAATGCAGGAGACCTAGTTTCGATCCCCAGGTAGGGAAGATCCCCTGGAGAAGGGAAAGGCTACCCACTCCAGTATTCTGGCCTGGAGAATCCAAGGACTATAGAGTCCACGGGGTTGCAAAGAGTCGGACATGACTGAGCGACTTTCACTTTCACTTTTCAGACAAAACCACAGGAATACTGACTCCATAAGACTATAATGTCCAGGAATTTGGAGGTAAAAAAATAATAGGAATTTGGAAGTACAAAAATAGTAAGATGTAAGACTATAAGATGAAAGAGCACATGGGAGTTCTTCTAAGGACCTAATAGAGTTTGGAAAAAAACAGAGATAATTACTAACTTTAGACTTTGTTCTGTCAGGGAAGCATTTTTCTTTTTTTTTCAGGTAACAACAGTAGAAAAGAAAAGGAATTATAAAAGTCAAATTAATATGGGAACAAAAGACCATTTTACCTGCCACCTGAGAAATCTGTATGCAGGTCAAGAAACAACAGTTAGAACTGGACATTGAACAACAGATTGGTTCCAAATCAGGAAAGGAGTACGTCAAGGCTGTATATTGTCACCCTGATTATTTAACTTACATATAGAGTATCTCATGTGAAATGCTGGGCTGGGTGAAGCACAAGCTGGAATCAAGACTGCCAGGAGAAATATCAATAACCTCAGATACACAGATGACACCACCCTTATGGCAGAAAGCGAAGAGGAACTCAAGAGCCTCTTGATGGGAGAGTGAAAAGGCTGGCTTAAAATTCAACATTAAGAAAACGAAGATCATGGCATCCAGTCCCATCACGCATGGCAAATAGTTGCGGAAACAATGGAAACAGTAAGCGACTTTATTTTGAGGGGCTCCAAAATCACTGCAGATGGTGACTGCAGTCATGAAATTAAAAGACGCTTGCTCTTTGGAAGAAAAGCTATGATAAACCTAGACAGCATATTAAAAAGAGAGACACTTTGCTAACAAAGGTCCGTCTATGGTTTTTCCAGTAGTCATGTATGGATGTGAGAGTTGAACCATTAAGAAAGCTGTGCACTGAAGAACTGATGCTTTTGAACTGTGGTGTTGGAGAACTCTTGAGAGTCCCTTGGACTGCAAGGAAATCCAACCAGTCAATCCTAAAGGAAATCAGTCCTGAATATTCATTGGAAGGACTGACGTTAAAGCTGAAACTCCAATACTTCGGCCACTTGATGCAAAGAACTGTCTCACTGGAAAAGACCCTGATGATGGGAAAGACTGAAGGTAGGAAGAGAAGGGGACGGCAGAGGATAAGGTGGTTGGACTGCATCATCATATCGACGGACATGAGTTTGAGCAAGCTCTGGGAGTTGGTGATGGACAGGGAAGCCTGGGCATTCTGCAATCTACAGGGCCACAAAGAGTTGGACATGACTGAACTGAACAGAAGGAAAAAGAAAAACAAATCCAATAAAAAGAGAGAAAGGAGGAAAAAACATAGAAAAGAGGAAGAGATAGAGTATAAAATATAATAATTTCAAATACATCATAATAAAGACTTTTGATTTTTGATTGAGGATGTAGAGAGTCAGAAAGAACACTGGTTTTCAATTTAAAAAAAAAAAAAGGGTGGCCAAACTCTAAGTTCATGACTACTGTTGAACAAACCAAGAGGTCACAGGACAACTAACCAGCCCCAAATCTTAGAAGGGACACAGCAGATGCTGCTAGAAGTTGTTAAGAATAATTCAGCTAGAATAAACATCAAATTGGTGGAGCATAAATATGGGCTGGATAGAAAGCGTAGAGCCTGTGGGGACAAAAGAGTTCACAAACTCTTGTATATTTTTCTTCAACACGAACAGACCAAAAAGAAGGATGAGAGTCTTGAGAAAGAGATCTCCATGGTACAGGCCTCAGGGAGGGGGAAAGGGCACTAATCCTTGCTTATCTCCTCTAGGGAACCAAAGGTTTAATTTGCTTGGAGCAGGACAACAAACACTGCTGTCCCTTGGGCACTGGGAAAACAAGTGCATCTGGGGAAGGGGCTGGACTATAGCTTGGGAATAGGGTCTCCGATCATCCAGATGGTAAAGAATCCGCCTGCAATGTAGGAGACCTGGGTTCAATCCCTGGGTTGGGACGATCCCCTGGAGAAGGGCATGACAACCCACTCCAGTATTCTTGCCTAAAGAATTCCATGGACAGAGGAGCCTGGAAGGCTACAGTCCATGGTGTTGCAAAGAGTCAGACACGACTGAGAGCCTAACACACACGGGACAGGAGCACTAACGAGGCCAAATGCCCCAGATACAGGAACACACTAATGCAGCCAAAGACTCTGGCTTTCTCAGAACAACAGGGCAGAAGTGTTCTCTGCTCGTCCAGTTTCTTGTGGAACAAAAGTTAACAGTGGGACACTGCTGGGGACTGACAACTCCTCAAGTGCTGTGCAAAGGGAAGACCTAAAGATAGTGAGAAAACCCTCTGGCAAACCAGCCCCTAACCTAAAAATAAGACATTGCTAGTGGAATTTGAAGCCTGTGGTGCAATGAGGGTAACCACAGAAACAACAAACCTCAAACCTGCCCAACTCCTGACTGTATTAACTCAAACCCCCCACATTAAAGGCCTAGTAGAAGGAAAGATGTACCCATTTCCAGGCATAGAAACCATTTACTTTAGTCTACTCTCCTACATAAGATGCACATCTAGTTAAAAAAAAAAAAAATTACAAAGCATAGGAAAAGGTAAAAAACAAAACACTTCCAAGAGATAAAGCAATCAACAGAACCAGCCTCTTATATGACACAGATATTGAAGTTTTCTGACAGGGAATAAATTAAGGGCTCTATGGGAAAGGTGAAAGATATGCAACATCAGATAGGTAATATCAGCAAAGAAATGAAAACTGTAAGAATTAAAAGGAAATACTAGAAGTAAAAAGCATAGTAACAGATGTAAAGAATGCTTTCAATGGCTCATCAGACAACTCACAAAGTGGAGGAAAGAATCAATGAACTTAGTGATAAATCCAGAGAAATAGGTCAGTCAACAGAAACTGAAATACAAAGAGGAAATATAATGGGAAGGCAAAGAATAACCAAGAGTTTCTGGACAACATCAACAATTTAATGTAAGTATGACTGGAATCCCTGAAGAAGAGAGCATGGGAGAATAAGTATGTGATGAAATAATGACCAAGAAATTTCCAAATTTCATGGCAGTCACAAATTCACAGGTCCCGGAAGCTCAAGAAAAAAACAAGCAAAAGTCACATCAAGTCAAACTGTATTTCCCTAGGAAATTGTCCACTTCATCTAAAGACTCGAATTTCAAATGTATCGCTTAAATGTGCCCACAAAACAAAAAGACAAGGCTGTTCAAAGGGATGAATTCCAGGGACTTCTTTGGTGGTTCAGTGGTCTTTGCTTTCACTGCAGGGGGCAAGGGTTCCATTCCCTGGTAGGGGAACCGAGATCCCAACTGCCCCATGGCCAAAAAAAGAAAAAGTTAAAAGAAAAGGAAAGTAACAGGTAATTCCAATCTTACAAAAAACTTCTGAGAATAGAAAAAGTTAAATACAACCCAACTCATTCATCAAGCTTACTATAACCTTGGTGCCAAAACCAGATAAAAGTCTCCCCGCAAAAGAAAACTATAGCACAATCTAATTCAGGTACAAAAAAATCTGAATTATGAAAAACCTGATTCCTGCAATGGGAATATGTTGTGTATGTTTCTGTGTCTGCACTCTATATCACAAACTTGTATTTTGATAACTGTACCTCGATACAACTGGTTTTCTTTGCAACCCTATATATTTTAGTTTATGCATTAAAAAATATTATTTTGAAAAGAGGTTCATAGGTTTCAGGTTCCCAAAGGGGTGCATGGCACACAAAACAGATAAGAACCCCTGTACTAAAGAAACTCCTATTGGAGATATACACAAGGAAACGTGCAAGAATGTTCAGGGCAGCACTGTCTGTAATAGCAAATGGCAGTACAAAGAGCAAAGTGGCTCCTAAACTTATACTTACCAGGCGCACTTTTCTAAAAGTCATTAAAATGAAGGAACTGGAGCTACATGTATCAGCAAGGACCTATTTCTTAACTTGGATGCTGGATATATGGGTGTTTAATGCAATATTCTTTAGATAACCAACACACCACACTATTTTTATTTTTCTCACTTTGCAATGAGAAAGCATCATGGATCACCACCAGTACATGCACTGATATTTAGGAACCATATCCATTAGTCAAGTGTAAAAGTGCAAAATATAAATTCCTTAGGAAGGTTTTCTCCTTTCCAAATTTCTTCTAGGTTTTCCAACCACCTCGTTGGAATTAACTGTACTGTCCTATTCTCCATAGCAATTTATATTTAATTCTCTAATTACAAACTTCTGAATTATACAGTGCTTCCAGTCTTATTGATATAATTAACATATAGCATTGTGTAAGTCTAAGGTGTACAGCATAACTTGATTTACATATATTATGAAATGATTACCACAGTAAACTTAGTTAACATTCATCTTATATGTGAATTTAAATACAGTTTGCACATGACTGATTTCTCAAGTATAAGACCTTTGATGGCTACACACTGCTTTGTATTCCTGAGTTCCCAAAACTACATTTATTGAGTTTGATTCATTTACCTATAGTCACGCTGAAATAAATCCTGAATGCCGGCAGAAAGTTGTGGTTGCATATTTAATATCTATATTGAGATAAAATCTGATCATAAAAATAAAACTTCTCATCATAAAGCTGGATCTCTACTTTTCATAATCTGTTATTTTTAAATACAATGAAAAACACAAAAAAATAACTCTGTGAACAATGTAAAATAAGATATATTCATTCTAAAGGATTTACATATCTATGTTATCACGTTCAAGTTGGGATGATGACTTTACATTTAAGTATACAGAATGATACATGAGTTAACTATGCCCCCTACTGACTGAAAAGTACTTTGAAAACCAAATAATACAGAGAATAGATGTACCACATAAAAACCAAATAGTCCCAAATGTACTTTTATAATGCAAATGGGTTTCATAAAAAGGACTTGGTAGGTTTTAAGTCAAGAATATTTGAGAGAATATTTATTAGAGAAAAAGGGGACTTGAGAAGAAAGAAGCATAACTTTGGAACTGACTGCTCAGAGTCACCACATTACACAATTTTAGGAAGCATCCTTCACATTACATTCTGTATCAGTGGTTCTCAAGCAGGGGCAGTTTTGCCTCCCCGGGGACATTTGACATCTGTGTGGAGATGCTTTTGGCCATCATAGGGAGGTGGGAGTGTGGTGCTTCGGAATAGAGGGTAGAGGGATGTGGTAGTAGTTAAGAGGCCAGAGATGCTGCTAAATGTACTACAATGCACAGGCCAGTCTCACAATAAAAAATTATCTGGCCCCAAATGTTAGCTGTGTTAAGAAATTTTGCTCAACATAAATATTCCCTTTCAGGTTGTGCAATAAGGAAACGAAGTCAAATAGAGTTTTATGACTTGCTTCAACTTGGCTGAAAGAGTGAAAGAAGACACTAAATCTCTGCCATCAAGTCATATGGGTTTTGGGACTTTCCTAGTGGTTCACTGGTCAAAATTGCCCCTGCACTTCCAGTGCAGGGGGCACAGGTTCAAACCCTGGTTGGGGAACTAAGATCCTGTATGCCACATGGCATGGCCAAAAAAATATATATATATAGTATTACGTTTTAGTCCTTTTCATTTGGGATAGAAAATTGTAGATGAGAGTTTCATATGCCCACTTTTTAGCTCTACTGTAAGGATGATACAATTTGTGCATAAACTTTTGATGGGTTAACAATAGTTTTTAAAGTTATTAGGTTTTTTCATCATACCTGTGTTTCCATTTCCATCATCCTCTGTTTTATTTCTTTTATTTCGGCTTGTGTTTCAGCTTCTCTGAGTCGGATGGTCATCAGTTCATCTTGTAACTCAATCATGGCATTTTTTTTAGGTGGGTCTTTCCATCTCCCAGTAGTACGAGCTAAGTGGCGCTAAAATTTAAAAAAAAATTATATTGCAACAAATATTCCCAGTACTAAAATAAAAGCCAAATTAACCGAGCACTTATTTCAGGCCGAGTACTGTATAACCCACTTTATATGTGTCATTTTATTTAATCCCAGAAAATCTTAAAAGTTAAACGCTCTTATTTTCACTGTACAGAAAAGAAAATGGAAATTGTGATTAACTCCAGAAAGGTCCCAAAGCCAGTAAGTGGCAGATTTGGGATATAAACTCAGATACGGTTCAAATATTTTTTTATTCTGTAGATTAATTATTGTAAAAAATACAATCTTTATCCTCATTTTTCCCTGAGAGATTTTTACATTATTTTTTAATGAAATCTCAAGAAAAGGGGAAAATAGAAGCATTCATGAATTAGGGAAAAAATAGCAGAAATTAAGAACAGTGTTCTCAAAAAATTCTTTCATTTGTTTTTAATTAATTTCCAGTTTATTGCTGTCTGATATTTCTTTTAAAAAAAAGAAAAGCCATGGCAATGTAAAGAACTTTGCTAGATATATTCCCCACCCCAATTCATACCAAGATCACTTTCTGAAACAATATGTAGTTTTTTTCCTTTCCGTTCTTCTTTCTGTCTTATAGATTCTATTTTTCTTTTTCTTGCTACTTAGCAGTAGTTTCCCTCATATGTGAATAAATTTGTGGCATATAACCAACTAAATGTCTATTTTATTTTGTGATAAAACCACTTTCAAAAGAAGTTACAAATTCATAAATTTATGTTGATGCCATGCACCCTTCTGATGTTTCTTAACGACCAATGAATTTAACAACAGAAGAAACATGTACAATATAAAAAAATATTTTCTCTTAGTTCTTTAGAAAAAGTTAACACAAATCACAATGGTATAATAAGAGAACAAAAATATGACTTGGCCTCTATTTTACATTTTATTTAATTCTAAAAATCAAAGAGAAAAAAAGCTTAAAAGTACTTTCAATTTCTAAATGCTCTCAGTTTTGTACATAACAGAGTCTTTCTCACTTTAAACTTAAACCCTAGTGTTGGTTGTTAACTACTTCAAATTTATACAAAATGGATACTCAGGTTTTGCATTTTTTTCAAAAAGCACACAAAATACACTCACATACCTGCCAGTGTTCCTCCAAATCCCTGACTTGCTGTCTAAGCTCCTTCAGGCCCATAACAGCTTCTGCCTCTCTCAGCTTCACAGCAATGAGCTCTTCCTGCAGTCGTGCAATGTTATTCTCATCAGGAAAGGAGTTGTTTCTCTAAAGCAAGAGAGAATTTAATTGGGGATTTTTTTTTTAATTTAAAAAATAAAATATAGCATATACAATAATACAGCAAAATAACAAGAGTTATTTTATCTCATATATAATTTTGCTTAATTTGATACAATCTTCTTGAGATATAATCCAAACTATAAAACTTAAAAACCATAAACTTATAGTTTTTAAACTATAAAACTTATCCTTTTAACACTAGTCAGAGGTTTTTAAGAGTATTCACAGTGCTATGCAACCATCATCACAAACTAATTTCAGTACATTTTAATCACCCCCAAGAAACCCTATACCCATTAGCAGTTACTCTATGTTTTCTACACCCCCAGGCCCTGATAATCACTAATGTATGTCTCTATGAACTTGCCTATTTTGAATATTTCATACAAATGCAATCATATAATTTATGGCCTTTTGTGACTAGCTTCTTTCACTCAGCATGTTTTCAAATTTCATTTTTTAAATTGCCAAATAATAATTTCATTGCACAGATACACCACATTTTATTTATGCATTTATCAGTTGATGGAAATGTGAGTTGTTTCCACTTTGAGGTTACTATGAGTAACACTGCTATGGACATTTATGTAAAAGTTTTTGTGTAGATGGATGTTTTTAACTCTCTTGAGTATATATGAAAGAGGAGAAATGCTAGATCAGATGGTAATTCTACATTTAATTTTTAAGAAACTGGCAAACTTTTCCAAAGCAGTTGCATGTTTTACATTCCCACCAGGAAGGAACTGTCTTTGATTTTAAGGACACAGAGTCTAATTCTGTTTTAATAAAATACTAATCAGAATTATGGAGCAACAAGATTAAAAATGTTTTTCAACATGGCAATAAACATACTAACCTCTGATTAGGACTTCAAACAAAACATGAACATTACTTATTTTTAAAGATTTATGGGAGAGAGCAGTTCAAAATTTGTTTTATTTTTTCAACACACCACTTTGGAAAAGGAGTATAAAATATCTGAATATTAGGCACTATTGTGACTCATCAATACTCAAGAAATTAGTTCTAAGGTAATCTAAGTATTTCTTCAAGGGTACAAGATGGGTCCTGAAAGACCCATCTTAGAATATAGAGTTGCCATATTAAACTGCTCTCAGGAATGACCACAGAATTCTAAATTAGGCTCTAATAAAAGTTCATTAAGTAAACTAAGTTCCAAGTCTACAAAATTTTCTATCTCTGAAATATTTCATTAACATTTTAGCCCACAGAAATGGCTGAATAAAGTTATTCGTGCCAACTACATATATTTTGTGATGGATTTTAAATATTTTCTCAACTGAAAACCAGAAATTTACTGTATATGTAAAGAAAAATTATCTTGCATGAAGACATTAACCATAGGATGCATGAATACCAACAAAGCTACTTTAAAAATCCATTTTTAAACTGGACCCAAGAACATTTCCTTCTTCCAAATATTCAAAACAGAAAGATCCAGACTCTTAACTAAATCATGGAGCCCAGAATACTCCCCATTAGGATTTTTTATTTTTTGCTGGCTTTTTCCTCAACAAATAGGAGAAAAAGTTTTCCAAAGATAATATAAAAATAGAAAATATATTTCTGGCATAATTATTCCACTGTAGTTATACCCTGTTCTATTTCATTAAGAAACAGTTAAGAATTTGAGGCTCTTTCATGTCCATTGTTTATGAGATTCTCAATAAATGGCTAGATACTACCTAAGGGTAAAAGAAACAAACTCAACACAGAACCCAAATTATCTATGATTTTATAGATGAGAAAACAGAGATTCAGAATTTGTGATTTGGAACACAGACTCTCAAGTCTGAGGTTATAAGAAACCTAAAAGTGTTTCTATTTCCACTACTCATCTATTTTAACAACCTTCAAAAGGTAAGTTAACTTCTGTAAGTACATCTCCAGCTAAAATCTTCCTATAAAAACTGTGATGGTTTTCTGTAGCTTGGAAAGCTGTAACAGTTATACTCAGATGAAAATTTTCCTGAAATGCTTATGTATTTAACTAGTCTATTTCTACACTTGTTGCAGATAAAACTATTATAATATTTGAAAGCAATGGTTAATTTCTTTCTTTAAACAAATTTACAAGAAAAACAAGACACATCTGCACAAGACACATCTGCAATGTGTTTCAATCAGAAAATTCACTTCTATATATCAGATCTTCATATTTCAAAGTAAAAATGTTCACTTCTCAGCTGAAATTTGATTAAAATGAATATTTGTGCATTTTGTGCTCAGTCAGGATGCATATTTCACAGTGGATTTTTAAAATTTACCTTTAATTGGGAGAAAAGCAAGTGATATATTTATATACTGTTGGGATAAAAATGGTAATCTTCATTTTTTTAAAGAACTATGAATGTGGTTATGGTTTTAGCACATTTTACTCATGTTCAGCACATGAGTAAAAAATTTAATTTTTAAATTAAAAAATACACTGTGGTCTACACTGACCCAAAAGTATTCCATAAATTAGTTTAACAAATACATGGCAAATTTTTCATAGCTAAATCTAATTCTTCTAAAAGGAAATTGCTGCCTTCCGTTTAATTACATTGACTGAAATGTGCTTAAGAGGAATGTCTTCAGCATATTTTATATACTAAAAATAAAAAGGGTTAGTATTCGGTCAATGGCCAAGATGTAATATTACTACGTTGTAGACTGTTATAGTTCATATCATCCCATTTGCCCCAGGATTTTAAGGAAATGGCAACCCACTGCAGTATTCTTGCCTAGAGAATCCTGTGGACAGAGGAGCCTGGTGGGCTGCTTTCCACGGGGTCACATAGAGTCAGACATGACTGAAGCGACTTAGCATGCATGCATGTGCTGGAGAAGGAAATGGTAGCCCACTCCAGTGCTCTTGCCTGGAGAATCCCAGGGACGGAGGAGCCTGGCGGGCTGCCGTCTATGGGGTTGCACAGAGTCGGACACGACTGAAGCGACTTAGCAGCAGCAGCAGCAGTCTGAGAGATACTGTGTCAGCTATAGTTGGGTGACTCTAAAGGCTGTTTATTTTGACAACAGTTAATCTCTATTCCTTAAGTTTCTTTTCTCCAATATTTAAATATCATCCATATAAAAATTATCCTGGTTGTTTCCTTCTAAAAGGACTTTAATCTCTATTTTTACCCAAAATATGGAGCTTTGAGTAGTATGGTAACAAGAAAAATTAAATAGGAATCATGTATTTTTCCCTTCCTCTCTTATAACTAACATGTAAGATTCTTAATGTAAAAAAAACCGTGCCAAATTTCACCGCTCAATAAGCACTTAAATATCTATCATATGTCCCCTCTAGTTTGGGAATGACAGCCTTTATGTTGCTCTTACCTTTTCTATATCCAGAACTTTATCCTGCATTTCCTTCAGTGCACACTGAGACTCAGCTTCACTCAGACGGGCTTGGACCAATTCCTTCTCTAGCTGTAGCACAAAATCTTCATTGTAGTTGGAACTGCATTTATGCTACAAGTTATAGACATACACTGAAATTTTTCAGAATTTTGAACATGTATATATAATAAGTGCAATTACACAATACAGCTATTGAGGGTAACCAGATTATAAAAGTTCCATCCACCTAGTATTTCTAGCTTATCTCCTTTCCAGAAAATAAAAAATTCCAGGTTTGATATCTATAATGATGATCACATTATCAGGTGTTTATAATCGAATCCAATTCACAGAAGACAAATATCTTCTTTTATCTGTCCATTCATCCAGATACTAAGAATTTGTTCCAGCTCTATAGACCTGAACCGAACACCACCATACCACCAGTCACATATGGTTACTGAGCACTTGAAATGTGGCTAGTCAAATTAAGAAAGGTTGTCAGTGTAAAATATAAACTGGATTTTGAAGGCTTAATGTGAAATAAAAAGGCAAAATATTTCATTAATTTTAATACTGATTGTATGTTGAAATAATATTTCAAACGTACTGAGTTAAAATACTGATTTAATCAAATAAAACTATTACTTATTAATTTCATAATATTTCAAATGTACTGAGTTAAAATACTGATTTAATCAAACAAAACTTTATTATTTATTAATTTCATTGTTAGTTACTCCTTTTATTATGGCACTTTAAAAGGCACATGTGGCTCACATTATATTGATATTAGACAGCACTGATACAGACTACAGAAAACAAGTACAAATTTACTGAAAATTTTATTTTAACCTAATAGGAATAAAAATAAGGCATCTATAATAACGTAAACCATCCTAAATCCCAAAAGAACAAAAATGTATTTGCTGTTAGAAGCGTACTGATCTCTTTAAATATACTCATGAAAATGACTGATAGAAGCAATGATGCTGCATAAAGAAATTAACCATGAAAGGATGAAACTCTTCCATCTCCTTTTCTACTTTACACCAATGTAGCTATTTAAGAAATCCCCTTTCGAACTAGTTTGTACACAAAGATGTTCAAAAAAGGAAAAAGACATCTAATTCATCACTATAAAAGACTTCCTAAAATAAACTATCACTTCACATTTAATTCATGTAGTAATTACTACGTGATTAAAAAATAGTGACAACTCAAAATTCCAAAATAAGAGTCACAGAGAATAATCTCCTACTGAACTAACATAAGTAAAGAATGGGTCTTTTTACTCTTTAATATCTTAGGAACAAAATAGATATCAAATTAAAACTATTTAAAAACTATTAAATACTTAATTAAAATATACAGTACTCCCTTGCCCAACTCAGAAAGTTACATGTTTTAAAAATGCACAGTTCACCTACTTGGCAAATGAGAACTTTTAAACTCAGTTTTATTTCTCCCAGTTATTTCTGATACTATTAAAACAATATTTCAATATAAGAAATAGATCTGCAATAGGTATATCACCTTAGCAAATACTTACCTTACCAAACAGAAAAATGACACAGTTTTAGAATAGCCACATCCAAAATGTAGGTGTCATGATTTTTGTTTTAATTAGATCACAGTTGTTTTATGACTAATACTAGAATCTTTTGCCTTTAATTTAAAGCTCTGACAACAGTAATTCAGGTTTACTTGTTAAGACTCTATTAGGAGGGCCCAAGGAACACATCAAACCCAAATGGCCAATATGAGAATGGAACCATTGATTTGGTGTAAATCAACCCATCCAACCAAGTCTAAAAAAAAAAAAAACCTACTAATATTGGGAACAAATTTTTAGCAATAAAATTTACAAAACTTCTAATCATTCTCTGTTGTTCAAGGGATTCATTCTACAGTGTACATGTTATTTCTCTTCTCTCCAGTTTGTTCCTCAATCCACTACAAACTAATTTTAGCCTTCAACCCTTGATGAAACTGCTCTAATCACTAACAGTATTAATACCCAATAACAATATAAAAACTCAATGGAAAGCCCTTTTGTTCAGCTCTTAGCTTCACCAGATAGTCTATGGAATTTAAAACAACTGACCACTCACTAAAAATTTCTCCTCCCCCAGATTCTGAGGTGTTACTCTTTCATGGTTTTACTTCCTATCTTCTCTGTCTGTTCTGTCAGTTCCACTACTGCATTATAGATATGTCTGTGTGTTTATGTGTGTATATATGTGTGTGTCGATCAGCAGGTCTCAGGGTTTCTATATTCTGTATTTTCTCTCAATCTTTCTGTTAATTTTCTTATTTTGTAGATTCCTCCTATGTGATTTCATCTATTGTCTAATACAGCCCATACAAAGACATTATCAGATACAATGTATATATTTTTACTCTATATAATTTTATGTAGACAATGGATGAGATCACCAAGGAAGAACCTGCAAAATAGTTAAAAAAAAAAAAACAAAAAACAAAGGAGGGGGGAGAGGGAGAGGAACATACAATAATGGAACTCTAAGGACAATAAATATAGATAGAAAATAACAGATATACAGATGTATAAAGAGTGACGACTCTCAAGTCCATATTCTCACCCTGATCTTTCTAATAAACTACAAATTCATATTCACAACTTCCTACTGGTTTTCTTTTGTCTGTTTAGCCTCATACTCACCTCACATTCAACCTTTCAAAACTGGACTCCTTATTTTTTCCTTCTTATATGCTAAGGATCCCATCATCTAACAACCATCCAAGTAAAAACTTCCCCTATTATTATACTTAACCCATACCAAATCAATCACCAAATCTTAGTTTTTCTTCCAGCTACCTCTTGAATTTGTCTGCTCCTTTCCATCTTCACAGTCACTGTTTTTATTTGTGCTCTCATCTTTCTTTGAACTACTGCAATAGTCTTACATACATGACCATCTAACTATTAATTACAGTGCTTAGTGGGTATTATTTAATATAGGCATACTTCATTTTATTGCTCTTCACTTTGTTGCACTTTGAAGACACTGTTTGTTGGTTTTTAAACAAATTGAAGGTCTGTGGCAACCCTACTTCAAACCAAGTTTATTGGTACTGTTTTTACAACAACATTTGCTCACTTCAAGTCACTGTGTCATATTTTGGTAGTTCTCACAATATTTCAAACTTTTTCATTATTATTATTTTTGGCTTGTTATCAGTGAGCTCTGCTGTTTCTATTGCAATTGTTTTCAGGTGCCATGAACCACATACCCATTTAAGATGGTGAACTTAACTGATAAATGTTGTGTGTACTCCTGACGGCTCCACTGACCAGCCAGCCATTTCCCGCATTTCTCTCCTTTTCCTTGCATTTCCTTATCCCCTGAGATACAACACTGCTGACATCAGGCCATTTGATGACCCACAATGGCCTCTAAGTGTTCAAGAGAAAGGAAGAATTGTGTATCTCTCATTTTAAACAGAAAGCTAGGAATGATCAACCTTAGTGAGGAAGGCATGTCAAAAGCCAAGATAAGCCAAAAACTAGGGCTATTGTCCCAAACAGCCAAGTTGTGAATGCAAAGAAAAAGTTCTTGAAGGAAATTAAAAGTGCTATTCCACTGAACATATAAATGGTAAGAATGTGCAACAGCCTTACTGCTGATAATGGAAAAAGTTTCAGTGGCCTGAACAGAGGATCAAACCAGCCACAAAACTCCTTGAAGCCAAAGTCTTATCCAGAGCAAGGACCTAACTTTCTTCAATTCTATGAAGGCAGAAAGAGGTGAAGAAGCTGCAGAATAAAAGTCTGAAGTTAAAAAGACTGATTTATGAGGTTTAAAGAAAGAAGCCATCTCCATAAAATAAATGTACAATGTGAAGCAGCAAGTTCTAATGTAGAAACTGCAGCAACTTATCCAGAAGATTTTGGTAAGATCATTAATGAAGGTGATTACGTTAAACAATAGATTTTTTTTTATGTAGATGAAACAGCCTCCTACCGGAAGAAGGCGCCACCTAAAGCTTTCATAGCTAGAAGAGAAGTCAATGCTTGGCTTCAAAGTTTCAAAGAACAGGCTGATTTTCTTGTTAGGGGCTAATGCAGCTAGAGGCTTGAAGTCGAAGCCAGTGCTCATTTACCATTCTGAAAATCTTAGGACCCTTCAGAATTAAGCTAAATCTACTGTCTGTGCTCTCTAAAAATTAATGACATAGCCTTGATGATAGCACATTTGTTTATGACATGGCTTACTACTGTAAGCCCCACTGTTGAAGCCTAATGCTCAGAAAAAGATTCCTTTCAAAATATTACTGTTTGCTGATAGTGCACCTGGTCACCCAAAAACTGATGGAAATGTAAAATGAGGTTAATGTTTTTTTCATGCCTCCTAACACAACTTCCATTCTGCAGCCCAGGGATCAAGGAATAATCCTGACTTTCAAGTCTTATTACTTAAGAAATACATTTTGTAAGGCTATAGCTGTCAAAAAAGAGCCATTCCTCAGATGGATCTGTGAAAAGTAAACTGAAAACCTTCTGGAAAAGATTCACCATTCTAAGTGCTATTAAGAAAATTCATGATTCATGGGGAAAAGTCAAAATATCAACATTAACTGAAGAAGCTGATTCTAACCTTCATGGATGATTTGGAGGTGTTCAAGACCAGTGGCAGAAGTAAGCACAGATGTGACAAAAAGAGCAAGAGAATTAGAGCTACAAGTGGAGCCTGAAGATGACTTGCTGCAAACTCATGGTAAAACTTGCACGAGGAGTTCCTTTTCATGGATAAGCAAACAAAATGGTTTCTTGAGATGGAATCTACTTCTGATGACAATGCATGAGGATTACTGAAATGACAACAAAGGACTGAGAATATTACACATGCTTACTTTAAATAAAGCACTGGCAGGGTTTGAGTATTGATCCCAACTGTGAAAGAAGTTTACTGTGGGCAAAATGTTATCAAACAGCATTGCATGCTACAGAGAAATTTTTCATGAAAGGAATCAAAATCGCTGTAACAAACTTCACTTTGCCTTTTAAAAAATATAAATTGTCAATCTTCAGCAACCACCACCCTGATAAGTCAGTAGCCATCAACATCGAGGAAAGGCCTTTCACCAACGAAAAGAATACAGCTCACTGAAGCCTTAGATGATGGGTAGCATTTTTGGCAATAAACATCTTTTAATTAACGTGCATATGTTGTTTTTCTTAGACATACTGCTACTGCATACTTTATAGGCTACAATACAGTGTAAACATAACTTTTACATGCACTGGGAAACCAAATAATTTGTGTGACTCACTTTTTGTGATATTTGCTTTATTGCAGTGGTCTGGAACTGAACCCATAATCTGAGTTATACCTGTATTTTATGTTACAGCTCATACTAAATTGTAGTAGAAGCATTTTTACAATTTTGCCACCCAGCCCAGGTAGGTGTTTTCTTTCCCTTTTGTACTGAGACTAAAGAAGTTTTAATTTCATGTTTACTAGTACAAACATGTTATTGAAAATTATACAAGCAGTGATACACTTAAACAGAGTATTCAGAATAAATCTAACTTCACTAAGCCAATTTCATCTCATTATCAATTTTTGTATATAGCAACTAGCTCTATTCAATTACATTCATATGCATTATTGAACAAAAAGCTTTTTATTAGGATCAGTTCTTAGTACTGATATGGACTCACTGGAGATTCTGCATTTAGTGCTATGACTTGGGGGTTTAGGAAAAAAACTAACGTTTGTTTGGTTGAAATATGGACCAAAGGGTGGTCCATGGTGAATGAACTGGAAACGTTGGACATGCCTCGGTTCAATGTAAAGAAAGGGAAAACTGGTGACAAAGAAATTGGGGAAGATGTATGGAGACATACCTTTCTGAATATGCTAAAACTGTGAAGATGCTGCTTCCCACGTGAATGCTCGCCAAAGGGTGACCTCAGCAGAGAATTTTTTTTTTCAGCAGAGAATTTTAAAAAATCAGTTGAATGTATAAGATTCTGATTTAGGCTCTAAGGAAAGTGTGGTCCAAAATTTCTTGTGGCAAGAGCATTCTCATTCTTCCCTTCTGGGCTGGACAAATCATAAAAGCCACAGTGTTGCCCTATTTAGATGAAAGAAATATAATAATATCTGCTTCTTACACTATGCTCTCTGCACTATGAGGTCAGTTCCAGCTCATCTCTGAAAACTGTAATACTATTTGCTATTGAGCACTAAAAAGTTGTTTTATTTTTTGTTTCTTGTTTTTTACTTTTGGAGTCAAATATTTTTCATTGCTTGATAGAGAAAGGGGAAAATAGTGCTCTCCAGTTAGAGGAATAAAAGAATTCAAGTCATTAAAAAAAAACTCAATTGAATGGGATGACCCATTCTGTGGATACCAGTCAGCCTCTATTCTCAGAAAGCCCAATAAGCTTATGAACAGTGGCTGGAGCAGAGATTATACATGGGCTCAGCAAAATGGATTTCTACTCACCACGGTGATCTGGCTACTGCCACTGCTAAGTGTCCAATCTGCCAGCAACAGAGATCAACACTACACCCCTGATACGACACCATTCCCTGGGGTAATCAGCTTACTACCTGGCAGCAGGTTAATCATATTGGACCACTTCCAAAATGGAAGGGACGTTTTGCTCTTACTGGAATACACTTACTCTGGATATGAACTTGCTTTCCCAGCATACAATGCTTCTGTCAAAACTACCATCTGTGGAATTACAGAATGCCTTCTCCACCATGATGGTATTCTACATAGCACTGCTTCTCATCAAGGAGTGCACATCATAGCAAAATAAGAACAGCAATGAGCCCATGCTCATGGAACTCATCAGTCTTATCAAATTCCCTAATATCAAGCAGCTGGACTGACAGAATGTTCTCCAGAAGAATGAATATGCTGTGCATCACTGTGCAATATACAGTGTCATTTTTCTCCCATAATTCACAGATATAGGAATCAAGGGGTGTAGGTAGGAGTGACACTATTACTGCTACAGACTCACCAACAAAATGTTTGCTTTGCAACATTATGTTCTGCTGGTCTAGATTTCTTAGTTCCTGAGGGAGGAATGCTTCCATGAAGAGACAGTAAACTGGAAGTTAAGGCAAACCACTTTGAGTCCTCATGCATCTGAATTAGTAAGTAAAAAAAGAGAATTATGGTGTTGGTTTGGCTGACTGATCACTACCGAGTAGTCCACTACACTACAATGGAGATTTGGAAGAATATATGTGAAACATAGGAGATCCTTTCAAGTGTCTCTTAGTATTATCAGGCCGTGTAATTAAGGTAAAAAAAATTACAATAATTCAATTCAGGAAGGATTGCTTATGGCCCAGTTCGTTCAGGATTCAAGGTTTAGGTCAACCCACCAAGCAAAGAACCATGACCAGCTGGGGTGCTTGTTGAAGGTAAAGGAATAGAGTGGGTAGTGGAAGAAGGTAGTTACAAATGCTACCACATGATCAGTTACATAAATGAGGACCGTAACTGCCATGAGTATTTCCTCCTAATTTTGCTATGAATGTTTCATTGTCTTTGAATATGTGTGTTTTCTTTCCTCTCTTGTTCTCTTATCATGCAATATAAGATGCACTGACTTTATATTATAGCATTTAAGTATTGTTAATTTTACTGTATACCTTGTAATTAAATTACAAGATATCAAAAAGGGAAAACATTACTCAAGAACTTTACCACCTCTTCTGGGGAAGGCATTAGTACATTTTTGGTTATGCTCAGGATATAACTGTATGAAGTTATGCAGAATTATGACCTTATTATTTTCTTTACCTGGAGATTAAGTATAGATTAATGAGATACACATGGGTGCCAAACTGACAAAGGCTGGACTTGTGATGGTTAATTTTCATCAACTTGACTAGGACATGGGATGCCCAGATTAGACATTACTTCTGGGTGTTTCTGTGAAGGTGTTTTCAGATGATTTAGTAGACTGCCCTCCCAACGTAAGTGGGGACCAGCCATTCTGTTCAGGGCCTTAATAGAACATGTAAGAGAAAAAGGGAGGATTCATTCTGTTCCTGCCTGCTGCTTGAGCTAGAACATTAGTCCTCTCCTATCCTTGGACTGGAATTACTTTCATTACTCTGCAGAACTCTAATACAAGGTAAATTTTATAAGTAAGATTAAATTTATTGATTATAGAGCTTTTACTATTCTTGCTTGGTTTTGGTCCCTTTCAACTGGCTCAGAGCTTCTGCAATTGAATTCTCTTATTTGCTATTTATTTCTACATTTTGAATTCTGCTGTTCAAAATTTTGCAGATCTAAAATTGATCAGGAAAATGATATACTTCTGATAAAAAACTTCACCTTTCAATTTTAGTCTTTTAAGTTTTGGTTATTATTATTAGCCATTTATGCCATTGACCAAAAATGCTGGTCAGTCAGTCAGTCAGTTCAGTCGCTCAGCTGTGTCCGACTCTTTGCGACCCCATGAATTGCAGCATGCCAGGCCTCCTTGTCCATCAACAACTCCCGGAGTCTACTCAAACTCATACTCATCAAGTCGGTGATGCCATCCAGCCATCTCATCCTCTGTTGTCCCCTCCTGCTCCTGCCCCCAATCCCTCCCAATGAGTCAACTCTTCGCATGAGGTGGCCAAAGTACTGGAGTTTCAGCTTCAGCATCAGTCCTTCCAATGAACACCCAGGACTGATCTCCTTTAGGATGGACTGGTTGGATCTCCTTGCAGTCCAAGGGACTCTCAAGAGTCTTCTC